ATGTCACCCATAACGGATGGCAAAACTGGGGCAGTTATGATAGTCCCTCTCTGTTAACTGAATGTTTGGCCAACAAAGTCTCTTAATACTCATTTTAGCCACGCTAAAAGTATTTATATATTTATAAATATCTTTAGTTATTTCAAAGTGAAGACCAAAAAAACAAAATATATGACAATGTAAGGAACCTTGCAACGATAACGCTTTTATTTCTATTCTAAAGAGTAGATTGCATTTGTAATGATATCCCATTCATGATTAAGTTCATTAACTTTTTTTCTTCAAATATAAACTGTTTGAATAACTGTAAATAGTACGGATCAACAGTTTTCCACGCCTTCCTATCTAATAGAAGGTGAACTCAACTTTAAAATCATTGATATCTTAATATTACAAAACTTTATTTCATCTGTTTGTCGTTCGTTCTAAAGATGATGGAATAATGATATTTTTTAAAATTTCAGTCAAACGTCCTTCACCATAACAATAATATTTATCATTCGAACATGACATGCTACAATAGGCCCCATAACAAAACGTATGCAGTGCAACAAATGAAACGACTTGGCAATACGAATCTTTCATCTAATACTTTTGAGACACAAATAGAAGACGCAATATTCATGACCAAGCAGGTATTTTACATGGCAATTCCATAGATGATCTGCTGAACAGAAAAAGACTTATGACCGCTTGTGGGTGAACAGGTGAGAGCGCCATCACAACAAATTCTACCTTTTTCGGTGACGGGTTAGAGAGTTACAACGCCGCGGCGCGCCGCCTGCTAAAGTTACCCATGTAGCGCCTACTTTTTACTAAAGGGAGAGGGGTAAAGTAGCCCTCACTTTTAAAGTGTGATGCAACTTTTATACTCGATGTTTGGTTTTGTTAATGGCATTCTTATGTATTACATAATCAGATGACCTTTGTACTTTTTTCAAGATCCATTTTCCTTTTTAAAAGCAAAACGTAGAGGTTTGCGATGATTCGTATTTTAAAGAAACTGAGTTCTGTCCCTTTGCCCAAGTAAAAAGGTGCCTGGGAGAAAAAAGAAGAAATTAATTATACTGTCCTACACGACAACTAGTATAGCAGTTTAAAGATAAACTTGAGTTCTGGTAAAAAAAAGAAAATGAATTCTCACAGAATCTAACGAAACATACACTGACTGTTCAAGATTACAAATAAATGTCATTTGCCAAACAATTTTGGAAGAAAATCTATACTGGCTGAGTAATGAGCATAGAAAGATAAGGAAATCAGGGTAGTACTAGCCCCGACACCACGTGTGTTATCCCATATACATCTTTATGTGTAAGTGATTGTTACTTTACCAAGACTGCCAAATTTATGGTGATTTTGATGACTCCAGAACCTTGCATTACACACCATTACTTACATGCTATATGATCAACTTTTCTGATCCATTCCACACCTTTTGTTTCACAATGCAATCGCATTACCAGAACTCAAGTTTATCTTTCATGACTACAATACAATTCTCTGACAAAATTGCCCTCCTTAGATTCGCGTAGATTTAGTGATTTCATATTTCAAATATTAATAACTTTCTTAGTTTTGGTTCGATTTATTTTCAACTTTCGCCATTCCGTTTACCTTTTTAATTTTTTTTGTTGTACAGATGAATATATTCCAAAGGTTGGATTATTCTTCCTATAAAGGTATGTACATATATGAATGATAGAGAGTGAAAGGACACAGAGAAAGGGAGACCTATGTAGATAGTAATGGTACAACACTAACTACCATTTTTTTATAAAGGACTTTTACCTCTCGGATTTATCACGACTAAAAAAATTATGCTCTGTTTCCATTTATCAAAAGTAGATTAACAAAACAAAAGAAATAAATCACGTTTTGAGGCTTTTGATTTCGCCTTTCAAATTGAAATGCACACTAAATAACAACCTTATCTAATAGCAAGTAGAAAACTCAGAGAAGCACCCTACAGGTAGTGTAAGTTAAAATGAAATTGTACAACAAATATAAGAAAGTTATCACTATCCGAATGGGAACCTCAAATTGGGTGAGTCGGTAATGTCACTGTGATGTAGTACCGGACAACTTTCCCACTTGTTCCAACCAGGTGCGTACGCAGGATTTTTTCAATGGGGGTGTTTTGACATTTTTAAATCTGGCCGAAAATTTCGCATCGACTCAGCCAGCCGCTGAATAAGCGGAGGGGGGGTAAGAGGACACTTTTTTTTTTGTCTCGAAATTTGAAAATTTGACATTTTGCTCCGTTGGGGGGGGGGGGGTAAGGTCACCTTCTTTAGGTCAGCCATGGGAATAATTTTTTAAAAATTTTTTATTATTAAAAAAAAAAAAAAAAAAAAAAACCCAAAGGGGGGGGGGGGGGGTTATACACATAAAAATACCAAAGGGGGGTTTAACTCCCCAAACACCCCCCTGCGTACGCGCCTGGTTCCAACACACAAATTAACTCAAATTTAAGTTTTGTCCCTACAATTTATGACACGGGAGGGTCTTTTCTTTTTAGAGGACCTTTAATAATATGATATCCATAATATGTATTTAGTAGTGCCCCAAGGGAGGAGGCAGAAAAAAAGTAATGACATTTGTGTAGAAGACAAATGAGATGTCCGTGAATACGCCATAATCCACTGACAAATTGTTGAAATAACTCTCTTATTATTGGTACTTTTTTAATTTCAATTCGCCATTCTGTTTCTATGATTTTTCTGCTTTCATGCAAATGAACATATTACAAAGGTTAAATTGCCCTGTAAATACGAAATTATACAGGTTTACCCCCAAAGATACTTATTAAGATAATGGTTTAAAAGATAAAGGGCTTTTCACTTATCAACGATAACGAAAAATATAACTATAATTATGTGTACGACGGACTAATGTAGAAAAAGCAATGGGTCCGAGAACATCGATGTTGAAGGCTCATTAGCTTAAGTCTTTTTCTTTTCGGTGAGCATACCGATATCCAAAATCGTTTCTACGATTTTAGAGCTTAGATATCGTTATCGTTGTCAGATTGTCGGTATTAATTATGTGAGCGGCCCTGTAAGGAATCTTGATGAAGAACGTCATCTTAACTCATGCCGGCTTTTTTTCTGTCCATGCAACTCTCATCAAACTTTGTAACAAGGTTTATATTAAGACACATTTAGTGATTTAAAGTATATTTATTTTTGTTGACACATGTGTGTCGGCATTGCGTCCTTTTTTTTTTCACGGTGCACATTTTATTTCTTTCAAGCAACGGGGTACATGAGGGGCATATGGGGCGTGCCACCACCGCCCTCAACGAATGGTAAAACAGAAAATAAGAAATTAGAAATCAGAGTGCATACGTTCCACTCCCGTCGGATTTTTTCGGCCAGGTGCCATTTTACATTAACTTTCCTATCCTACTGGGCACCCATTCAACACCTTGGTGGAGAGGGACACAATCATGTAGATTAATGTATTGTCAAAGGACATGAGTGCTGCGACGGGAGTCGAACCACGAAAAAGTGATCCACGGTCTGGTGACGTACCCGCTAGACCACGACACCTTTACTTACAAATACAAAAAGTGCATACATTTAAAACATTATAGTTTACACATTATGTACAGGTATATCTATAAATTCGACTGGATATAGCCATATCTCATGTGTCAAAAATTGAAGTCGTAATTAGGTGCTCCTAATTTCTTTTGCAAGCTAAAAATGATATATACTCCCAAGCCAAAGATAATATTTGTTTCTCCCTGAATAAGATTGTAAGCACAATGTATAGTACATTCTTTAATTTTTCTCGATGTATGATATTGTTATAATCTAGTTATAATCTTGCCTTTTAAATGGTTTTATCGTCTTTCTTGTTCTGGTCATTCTTTATCCCCTAATCCTTCACGATCTCCGTCCTCCCCCCCCCCTTTTTTTTGTGCAGTGGCATTGCCTACTTGCCGGCGTTTCTCAATCTTAAATTTCGTCATCCCTATCTTATTGAAGATCTTCCTCTTATATTACGATTTCTCCAAGAGATGCTCAATATTAAGTCTACCTCTATCATTTTACCGCCTCCCACCCCTGGGGCAAAATAGAGATAAATTGTCGATGATATTTTCGATTTCTGTCTCTGTACAGGACTCTTTATTTTTTACCTTTTCTCGTCTCTATATCTTTCTTTCAATCTCTCCCACTCGTTTTGTTTCTATCTCTCTCTCTCTCTCTCTCTCTCTATTTCACACACACACACACACACACACACACACACACACATTCACGCACAATGACTCTCTCTCTCTCTCTCTCTTTCTCTCTCTTTCTTTCTCTCTCTCTCTCTCTCTCTCTCTATCAATCTCTATATCTATCTGCTCCTCTTCTCCTGCAATCCCCTTTCCACATGCAAGACTGCACTTTCCATGCTCTCTCGTGTTGTGTGGGTGACGAACAGTGAACTTAAGTCTCTTCCGCATCAGTTCCCAAACCTCGATCTGGTATTGCATCTGGTTAACGTACCCCTTATCCAGTAAATCAATCCATAGTGATTCCTCGAAAAAAAGATCCCATGGTCACAAATTTTGGCGACCTGCACAGCGCGGCATCTAAAGTGATTTTCTGTACGACCGGTAATTGTTTCTTTCCTCATCAAAAAAAATCATAAAATCATAAACCGTCATTTTTTGGTCAAGCTCATTACTCGTTCTCCCTAAAGTCCCTCTCCTTCTCTTTCTCTCTCTCTCTCTCTCTCTTTCACTTTTGGTCTCGCCCACTTAGTCTCTTTATTTAACCCTTTCTCTATACTTGTTCAGATCATTTCTGTCATCTAATGTGATCACCATTCCCTTTTCCTCAGTCCCCGTTGACCAAAATTACAGTGAGCAAACATTACAAAAAACTCGCGAACCTTTATTCATTGGAGACGACATAGGTACTGAAGAAAATTTACGAGCTACGGCAACTTTCCCTACATGTATTTCATAACCTCCATCATAGATTAGTGCCTTTCATGCCCCGCAGCAGAACTATACATAAGGTAAGACAATTTGTTTAAAACATTTCTGAGTGGTATAGGAACAATTAAAACTGCTATCTCAAATCTTTAACATTATGGTGTTTAAAAAAAATGTTTTGTATTAGTAATTTTGCTTTAATTTCTTTCGCAGGGAAGAAGTGTGTTGGTCATAATGTACAAATAGTTGTCAGTAGTTCCGCATCAGGGGCTGGTAACTCCTATTGAAAGAAATTGTCTTTTTTGTTTTAACTATCGGAGAGAATTTCTTTTGTTAATAACGATGATCACAATTTTGTTTAATGAAAAGTCAGAATACACCCCCTTTTTAATTAAATTTATCCATAATGTATTTTGTGGTAGAGATCTTTTTTATAATCTTGATTTCCTAACACAATATCTTTGGATATTTAATAATAAATTTTAGCTAGATTGTTAAGTGTATGGTTTGATTTGATGTTATCGTTTTAATACAAGTGCATATTGAGTACGATGTATTCATGATGGTATCCAAATAAAGCTATTATATTCTTAACTTTTTTGTTAATTTTTGTTCCGTAATTTAATTGCAATTCATGTTCATTTACTTCTGTATAAGCAGTCCTATCAATAAACCTGTAAAACGCTTCGTCATTGAGATACTGTGAATGATGAGTATTTGATAAGCTGATGTTGCAGATGTCATGCAAACAGCTCAATGCAATTAATACATTGCATTCGCTTGGATAAGCGATAACTATTTTCCAGTCATGCGTGGCGTCGTTTCGTCGGCTGCAATCCAACTCTTCCCAAATATTTTGAAATTACCCATAGTCAAGCAGCAGAGATGTTTCTCTTGTTTTGTTTTTATTTGTAAATCTTATAGAGTATACAAATTTTCTTTTCACTGTAATAAAGCGTCAGTTTTTGAGAAATACAGAAATAGGAATGCTGATATTTGGGGGACGTCTGCCCCGGGCCAAAGTTTGCCCGTAAGCCTATGAGCTATATGAATGCAATCATAATCTGAAATGAAATCTGACTATTGTCCAATTTCTATGTTTTTATAGGAAATGAACCATAACCAATAGGCTGAAAATTCTTTATTTTAAACACATTAACTTGCTTTCTAGCAAATTTTCTCAGCTAAATTATAATAACTTGATAATGTCAATCAAGTCAGGTACAGTACACTTTCATTATTTTGCTCAAAGTTTATTTCATGACTTCAGTAAAATACGGTCGTGTGCAAAGAATGGAATGAATTCGTGAAATTGCCTTCTGTCTTCTGTCTTGCTCATGTACATTTCTATTGATGGTATTAAAATGTTGACAACTAGTCTAAAATCGATAAAGTAGACAAAGACAATTTGGTCAAACCCACATAGCAATTTAAATGTTTATATTTATTTCCCTTGTATAATAAAGACAAATTCCAAAACCACTGATATTATCGTTCACGGGAATGTTATCAATGCCATAATAGCAACTGGAAAAGCAATAATTTAATAAGTTTAATATTTCAAAAAAATGTATTTTGTCGACTCATTCACAGGCAAACACAAAACATTTGTTACGCTGTTCCTCTAAAATACGACCAATCATGACAAAATGCGACGTCATCGTGGTTTATGAATCACGGGACTTTGACCAAGAAGAAACTTCTGGTTTCCTAGAAGGCGTGTAGGCCATCAACCCCAGATATCGTCATGATAGAGGTCATATTGAAGATGATTAATCCATCATATGAAAACAATTACTTCGTAACATAATTATCTCTGTTATATTCACATCAATCATTGTTATGGGTAGTTGTATGAGTGTGTGCATCGTTGTATGACTTCCCCAGTATTTTATCCCCTTTCCCAATATGTTTTTTCTTCTCTTTTTGTATTAAAGTGTATCAAGAAGCTGGCTATTTCTTAGTCAACAAATCCGTGTATCTGTCAATCGTCATTTTGCCTCCGTTGTACTTTACCAAATTTTATCAAATTTAGTTTTAAAAAACGTCCTTTTGTTTTCTTTGTTTTCCAGAGAAGAGCTTATCTCCGTTTTGTTTCCACGGTTAACCTTACGTCACGCATCTTCATTAATTGTATTAAACTTTTTTTATCATATTTATTGGTCTTTCAAAATGTTCTCTTCTTCTCTCCCTGTCTGCTCACTTTTATTTTGGTTCCGTGTCTTATTTCGCCTAAACTCAGTTTCCTGTTCTTTGTAAAGGTCTTAGCATTCACAATCCCTTTGCTATCCATGTAACATGTATACCTTCCTCCACCCACGCGTACTACAATGGGAATTTATTCAATGGTCGGCAGACGTGAGCAGTTACGCAATAGTCGGGTCAAGATCAAACACCACATACGAGGACAATTTTATACCTAGTAACTGTTGGTTGGAGTATGACGTAAAGATGTGGGGATAGTACGACAGTTCAGAACAAATAGGGGTCGGCTGTTCAAATGATATATACGTGGAAGCCCTCTTTATGATCCTATATTTAGATAACCACCGGAACTGGAACAATGGTTCTAGTCGATATCTCTTTTGAAGTACGTTCCGTATTATATATTTATTAATTAATTGCTTGGCTTAATCATCAAACGAATGTTCAATGTGTTTCTTAATTCTTTTTTGAAAACGCATTTCAGTGACCCTGTACCAATATTGATATCTATAATTTAGAAGAGAAAAGAAATGGTACCGAAAATAGGTGGAGTAAGAGGGCATATAACTCAGTTGATCTGCTAATTGCAGTCAGATGGTCAATCAAGTTCATTTATAATTCCTAAAGATCTTGTCAAATCGAATTTTTACTCCTTGATCTGTTTAATGTGAATTATAGAGAATAGATAGAGAAAGATATATTGCAATACAAACATGAGCTAGTGTCAGATAAAAGTGTACTCGATACATATACATTTTTGTACTTGTGTTTCATTCATTTATTTTTTCCTGCTTTGCTTTGTTATGTTTCGTTTGCCCCATACAAAACTCTCAAAATATCACAATGCGAGAAATGGCATTATGGCAAATGGACTTTTGGCTGTTTAAAATTTAATCTATCTTTTTTTTCCCCTAAACTATATTTAAGACTTACATTCACCGTTCAAAATCATCTAGTCTCGTAGAATTTGAATTTAAATTGCTCAATTTAGAGCTAGCTTCATTATCCCGGAAGTCCCAGTAAGAGTTTTATATTTTCATTTTCATTTATACATTCCACATCAAGATTTTCAAGTGTTATATAATCTTCAAAATATATTGATGTATTGCTTTTCAACAAGTCTTATTAACCTAAAACTAGACAGGTGATTTTCTTGGACAGTTACATCGTGATATAATGATGTAATGACCACATAAGCATGTGATGAGAGTTTGTATCTAATGCGACTTGTAAAACTAATTTTACTACAATCGTATTTGTCTTCAAGTGCACCCTTCCAAATAGAATACATTGTGTATTAGTTCTCAATTGAAGAGTCAGACATAGTACATGTATTGCTAATACTGATTAATTGCAGGAGGTGCGATGGCTCATTGGTAGATCAGTTGTCTCGTAACCGGAAGGAATGAAAGCCGTCAGTCCCCTGGTTGCAGCATATACACAATGCTCTCTTAACTAACAAATATTCATATGCACGAACAGTTCAAATTTAGAGTAAAGCTAAAAGAACTCGTAGGTTAAATGATGAACGAACCAAAAAACATTGTAATCATTTTTGTGTGAGGTGGGTTTTTGGTTTGATGAGGAGAACGTGAGCAGATGATTTGTTTGCATTTTGTCTCATCGTCCGAGGGTGATTGTGCAATGTGGCAACAATGGGCAAATAGGACCAACCGCTTTTGGGGCGGCAATCTAAAAGGACTAGCACGTTAATCATCAACAACTTGGTTACGCATTGTTTCCATGGCTTTCCGTTCGTCTCATCTCCTTCAAATAATGACAAGCTCATCCTTTTTCTGAAAATTTCATTGGATTGACCCATCCAGAGTGGATTAGATGCTCTCAGTCATGTGGCTGGTATGACACGGAAGAACGCAGTCACGTCACGTCTTCACTAGATTAACATTCAGTTTCGTCATTGGGCGACATGTGAAAAGGCATCGCGCACGCACTTCACTTCATTCTATCCAGTTTGATCTAGAAAGACAAAAAGTCTACAGTCAACACACACAGACGAATATATTGATGCATTGTTTCTCAAAAAGTCATTTCAGCCTACATAGCTGGACAGGTGATTTTCGCGGACATTTGCATTGTGGTATAAAGATTTAATGACCACGTCAGCATTATTATTTTAATGAACTTTACACAAGTTGATTAATTTTCAACGAGGGTGGCGCCCACCTTTGAACGCCAGGTCGTATAAGGTCATCATCTTCCGGTTACGCGCCTACCACACACCAGAGAGCAAAAGGGTTAACGTTATCTTTGAAATTAGTTCGTCCATTGATGGACTGAAATCTTTGCGCTGACATTCAGCCGACTTCCAGAGCGGTTCCATTTTCACAAGTGCCTAATCGAAGTTTTGTTATATTGCAAAAGTTACGTTCAGCAAAGGTAAGGATTGACAATCGTTTTAGTGTATAGTTGTCAGTTTTAGTAGGTTTGGAATAAAATATTGGATGTCATGTCTGGATCCATAATACACTTACAAACATCAATTGGTTGTAAGTTTTTCAGTTTGTATTGGAAGCACATTATTTGATGCTTGTAAGGAAAAACAGCAGGAATAGATTTTCAATAAATTTCACCGTCATTCGAGCTCTCATTTACAAAAATTAAAATGCAAATTGGAGTCTGTGGAATTGCAAATGACTCAGCTTCATTTGATCATTAGAATCGCTATCTTTAATTTCTTGTCAGGGTATAGCTTGAATACTGTACATCATTATAAATATGTTGATATACATGTATTGTATGGATACCATTCGTGACGTAAAACACGCATAATGGATATGTGGTAGCGCTTGTAATCAAGTTTCCAGTATTACAAATACATTACCAGCTTTTAAATTGGATAAGTGGGCAATTCGTAACCGTGAATATCGTGTACATATGTAAATAGACTACCGACTATATACCTAAATACATGGATTAAGATATTGCGAGTGGGGTAATTGCATCATTGGGGAACTGGATTACCTTCGTTTGTGTGTGTAATTCCCCAACCCATTCCATCACTGAGATGGGGCCATTAGGATATTTGGTATTCTTGGTAATGAATTATGTCATCTAGTTTTCTCCCATATAGAGATTATGATATATTGCTTCAAAAATTGTTATAGATGGCAGCCCATGTAACCGATCGTCCTTCACAGTTGGACGATTTGGGGTGATTCATGAAATTCAATCTTCATTTTTGTCGTTATCGTTTCAAATAATCTTGAATATATGGCTCCGCATATATCCTTATATAAGATCTCGAGTTACCATTTGATCACGAGTGTCTGTCTGCGGTTATCTCTCCATCGTAATACGAATCTCAGTGGCCAGTGTATTCGCATCTTCATTTAAGGCTTCTCGGACGGCGGTATATATTTCTCAGCATAGAATAATCTACTGCAGAGAAACGATATTTGAAAATCCTTTGTTTCCATTTTCTAAGATCATCTTACAGGGATGTTGTGTTCATATGACGCATTACTAGAAATGTTATTTTATTAAAACATTTGTAAATATTTCCATAGTTTAATTTAACTTTCTTTCTGACGACATGTTGTTGTTCAATATGTATGTGATCAGGCAAAACAAAAAACACCAACAAAGTTGTATGATGCGATTGTGCAGATTGAGCTCAGTAAATGTGCATTTGGTTGGGATGGTGAAATTTTACAAGTATTTCCTGAAAGAGTATAGTTTTCTCTATCTCATTTCTAAATTTGGAAGCACACACTAATCAGAAATTCTATTTTTGACAGGTTTCGTAGACCTGTGATTATCTGATATCGAGGAATTGCATCGATACTTTATTAAAATATAGAACAGGTTGTGCTTTAGCGTACAAGTACAAAGATTAAATTCTATAAAATTCCCATCCTCCTTTTGTCACCTTGCACAACTCCTTGTGTGTCAGAGTGCTTGAATGGAGTATAGACTTTTTCTCTCATGTAACATTATGTAAGATAGAATTTTCTTCTCATTTTTAATTGGATGAGAAACATCTAACTGTAATGAGTAATATATCACTTCAAAGCTGAGAATTTCCTCTTTGGACTCAGACCTAAAATTGGAAGGGAAAACAAAAATCATAAATGGCGAATTTTATGTAGTTTAGGGGTGCTGGATAAGATATGTACATCTCAATGTTCAGTTATTTTTTTTAATGTTGATACTTTGAAAGAGGAAAACAAATTCAAGTTTAAGTAAATTAATTGTCTTTATTATAGTAAAGTACATAGTACATTTATGTTGCATTTCGTTTAATCTAATAATAGTGGAATTTTTTTTTTATTGTCACATGTGTTTTACAGAAAACAAAGGCAATAAATGGTTACACCGAAAGCAGGAAATGACTTTATCATTCATTTGTTGCTGTTATTGTTGTTGTTGACCACAAGTTTGTACATTTTCATCTACTCGTCTAACCCAATATGCTGAAATTCTGTTTTATCAAATAAAATATTTAAATTTCATCATCATCTCTATACAGCGTCGAATCTCCATTGTCTATCCTGAGGCTCCCATCACCCTCATTTAACATGGTGTCTGCTCTCCAAACTGTAACGACGGCCGCTCTGTTGGTTGTCATGACGTCACATCTTGCCAGTGCGACCTTTGACCCTGTCACCGCCATTGACTGCTACGTGCACACGGGAATGAAACATGTGGCGGAAAAATCAGGCTGCGACTCGAGTATCATAAACGTCCGGGGCTGCTGGGGTAGATGTGACAGTTACCAGGTATTTAACAGACTACAAAGGTTTCATTTTGTACTTTTTTGTAACCCCTCAAGAATAAGTTTTCGCTATCAAAATCCTGTTTCCCATCCCTCTTCCTCGCTTAATCTTTTCAGTTAATTCATCCTATTTCCTACATTCATATTACCCCACTTATTTTTTAATCTTAAACAAATATGTTTGTTTATTTGGAGACAGTAGACCTTATATGGGACTGTTTTATTTGTGATGATTGAACGTGAGTTCCTGTAATATTTATCTACTTATTTCAACGCCCTCATAATGTTATTCTTTGCAATGTTTCAAATCGGCAAAAATAAAAACCTAATGGAATGAGAATAATCATTCAAAATTGTATGTGACAATGCCATGCCCTTTTAAATTTGTCGTATATTCAGTTCTTATCATCTTCGTAAGCACAATTAGATATTTGCATTTGTTCGCACGGAATTATCTATTCGATTAGATTAAAAGTTGCTAGACAATCTCAATTGTTTTCCGAAAACATGGTAATCAAATAACGTAATCCATGTCTATTGTTGCATAAGATTGCATTGTTTTTCCGTACAAATAAAAGAAAGATATAGGAATGTATACGTTGCCTGTCGAATAATTGTTCCGCTTATCAAACCGTTACGTAGAACTCCCGTTTTAGAACGATTCCTTGTTTCCCTCACCAAATGTCTTGAAGAAAAATCCTTAACAAGGTACTGGAAGGAATAGCTTGATACGTTATTCAAACATTGAAACGAGAAGGACGAGCAAAAGCTCAACTAACAACAGACAATGCAAGTTTTTGTAGCCTATCAACTGTGTGTGTGTGCGCGCACATGTGTGTGTTGTGTACGTGTGTGCGTGTTCAACTTGGCTTCCGTTCGTTCTTCCCTTACTACTCAAATGTTTGAAAAAGTGATCTAGATCTTAATACTTAAGTCATTGAAACATATTCTCCCCTAAAATTATTTTCAATCAATCATTCTTAAAATAAAAACTTTAAAAAAAAATATATATATTTTAATGTCTTTCTCTAAAGTAATGTATAAAGCCCTTTTCTCCACCCCAAAACATTATAGATCTGTATTTACAATGATATTAAGTAACCTTTTTCACTCCACTCCATTTGATATTATTTTCGAGTTTAGTGAGTGACAAGGAAATAATACATTGCAGGGAATTTACGCACTTTAAACAAAAATGAATCACACGATTACAAAAACATATAATACCATAATACACCAGTTTACGGTTGTGTGCGCCATTTTAAACAAAGCCAGTGACCAAGGGTGTCGATTTGTATCCGTGGTTGGGGGGGGGGGGTGATAGGTGCCAAAATATTTTCGGCAATGGATCAAAGCAATCAAGAGGTAGAAGCGTGTGGCAAGTTGCACCCCCCCCCCCCCAGCGCGTAGCCAGGATTTCATTTTAGGGGGCGGTAGTGAGCACGCGAAGCACGGTCCCTAGGGGATTGCGTGCAGGGAGGGGGAGTCCCCCCCCCCCCCCCGCGAAGCGCGGAAATTCTGATGTTTCATTAGATGATTAAAGAAAGAAGACGATCCTATGTACCATTCTCGACTCTTAATCCTTGTTTAAATCAAGTTCCCCTTCCTCCGCGCGTAGCGCGGAAGCTCTGACGTTTCATTAGATTATTAAAGACAGAAGACGATTCGATGTACCATTCTCAACTCTTAATCCTTGCTTGAATCAAAGTTCCCCTTCCTCCGCGCATAGCGCGGAAGCTCTGACGTTACATCAGATTATTATAGAAAGAAGACGATTCGATGTACCATTCTCGACTCTTAATCCTTAATGTTTGAATCAAGTTCCCCTTCCCCTTCTGACGTTTCATTAGATTATTAAAGAAAGAAGACGATCCTATGTACCATTCTCGTTTCTTAATCCTTGTCTGAATTCATTTTCGCCCATTCCTGCGCGAAGCGCGGAAGTTTTCACATTAGAGAAAGAAGACGATTTGTTGTATCGTGTCCTTCATGAACTCAGTTTCCCCCCTACCGCGCGAGAAGCGCGGAAGCTTTAACGTTTCAATAAATTATTACTCTTAATCCTTGTCTGTATTCATTTTCGCCCATTTCGCGCTTAGCGCGGAAGCTTTCACGTTTCATTAAATTATTCGTAAAAGAAGACGCTTCGTTGTATCGTGTACTTTGACGTTGCATTTGATTATTACGCTTAATCCTCGTCTGAATTCAGTTTCCCCACTGAAAATAATTTGTGTGACAAATAAGTTGTGACATAATAATATTTCTCCAAATATGAAAAATCTTTTAGGAAATATCAGGAAATAAAATGAGTGAAACAAATAAAAATAAAGATACAATGACGTGAATTTTAAAAAGGGTGAACGGAAACAACATAACAACTAGAGAACTATTTTATAAGTCATACTAATGTCCGAAAATCTTTCTCCTTGTCTCTGATCTCATCAAGAAATCGTCACAGAGTTCATCTATGTTTATACTGTCCAGGATTGTCTGATGTGCATTGCAGATTGCTATTTTTGCGCTTCGCGCTTAACATTTAGCTCGTTGCTTTTGACGCTGCGTCTTTGCATTTGGCGCACTGCATTTCTATGATGCTGTTGATTGAACAAATTGAATAAATTCATCAATTCCTGATGAAACCGTAATAACTATGAGCGAGAATTCAATTTATTCTTGTCTCATATACGGTTGTCTTATTTACTTCGTATAAAAAGAGATAGCAAAATGTGCATATTGATGGTCATCTTGCGAGTAATAACCATTAACTACTCTCATCGGGCTCTCATCCTTAATTTTTCTCTTCATTTTTTTTTTTTTTTTTTTTGATGGTGAATTATTGAGGGGGGGGGGGGTGATTGTACAGGCCACCCCCCCCCCCACCTGAAATATTTGGGGGGGGGGATATATCCCCCCCCCCCCCCCATCCCCCCCCCCCCCCCCCCCCCCCCCCGGGATCGACACCCATGCCAGTGACCTAGAGGTCATGTATTTATGCGTAAATTAAGATTACGCCCATGCAAATTATGATGATATCACTGCCTACGCGCTGCGTTGTGCGCGCACATCATCATTTGCATGGGCGCAATCTTAATTTACGCATAAATACCACTGACCTCGGGTCATTGGCTTTGTTTCAAAGCCACTGACCCGAGGTCAACTGTCTGCGCATGCGCACTGATACAACCGTAAACTGGTGTATTCATTGTGTTTTTTCCTCAAATATCACGAATAACTTGTTTCTAAATGTAAAATGTTCAACAATTATTCTGACAATCGTACGTACCATCCTGAGCAGCATCTATAATTATTGATATCAAGTTATGTAATGATTGTATGACGTATTCTTTTTTATTTTTATAAGCGTGTACATCCTCTCCCAAACTACTGCGTCAAAAAGTGTCGTTTCAATTTGTTTAAGAAACTACATGCAGCCTCAAATCTAATTTAAAAAATAGCCAAATGAATCCTCGTCATTTTATCATTTGGTATTGTTTGGCATTATTAATACACTTTGATTTAAAATAAGTGATTGCGTAAAGGCGCCTTATAATCGTTTCATAATCATTTCTTGTTTAACACCGCTTCTATGTTTAGATAATTTGGCCCGCGGTGATCGATAATTACAAATATTATTTTTCTTGTTTTTACTTGTCAGGTCCCATCGCTTCTTACCAAACTCTTTGACGTCAGTCACCCGATGTGTACACCAGCTAGCTATAAGAACATCACGGTAACGCTGGAAAACTGCGCTCCTGGCATTGACCCGACCTTCACTTACGTAGAAGCCACCACATGCGGTTGTAGGAAGATCAGAGGTACCGCTGTCCACTATGGCTACAGACCGGATTATTTTCTCCCTTGAGAGTTCATTACCATTTCTAGTTGTCCTTTGTCACTGAAATGTTTTCGATGTTTCGTCGCCCGGAGTCACCACAATGCAATAGAAACATTGAGTGATTGAAACGTGTCCATGTTGTTGTTTAATTTCTTTCTTTTTTTGTCACTTTAGCGTGAATATTTGTGATATTTAGTAGTTACTATTTTTCTTGGCTGATAAAAGAACTGATAACACCTTGTCGAATTCAAGTTTTGTTTCATCATTATTCCCTAGATCGTGATACACAAGAAATGAGTAAAGTCTATTTTTAAATGATAGAAAAATACCCCATTTTCACGCATAAGACAAGGAACAATAATCTATGACAGCAGAGGATCAAGAAATTGAATATTGTGAGAAGTTATTACCTCTTGAAAAATCAGGGTCGTGTCTTAGATAAGTCGAGTCTGTTGTCAGTCTTAAGTCTTAATGAACATAACATGAAATAGGCGGTCTTTGCGAATTATTAGAGGACTCACGATCGCTTTGGATGGTCACAAATCTTCTAGAGGTCAAGTCGTTCATTAACATTTTTGAAACAAATTGATGAACAAGTTATTAACATCTAACTGGTCACTCCCAAGCACGTGTTATTCTTTAAAACTCCTCCTTTTTACACCCTTCACTTATGTGCCATCATAGAGTTATATTCATAAATCGCATATATGTACAGCGCAAGAACAAAACGAAATTAGCGGATATAATCAGAGTTCATGTTGTGAACGAATGAGAGTGATATTTATTGTGTATTTTTTGTTTGAATGTGTGTGTGATGATCCATGTTCGTGCATCACCATTTTTTCTGTTTCATATCATTTATAAAGATATCAGTACTATAGAAAGTATGTAGATTTTATTTGTTTTGACTTCCAAACGTAAGGAATATTACACGAAGTGAATTCCAGTTTGATGCCATGAAGAGAACAGATTAAAGATGGACGATCCTGATTATGTTGGCAGAATTTAGCACGCTATCGACGTGAAGATGAAATAGATTTTTAAGAGTTATAAATATTATCATTTACAAGTGTAAATATTTAAATCTTAACGTAACAATTTGTCATGATTTGCTCTTGCCAATTTCAATAGAACCTTATCAAAATGTTATAGCTACATTTCAAAGATGTTGAAAATATATTTGTCACGATAATGTTTGCCTTACTCAAGACATGTTTCCGTTCACACTAGAAAGCCTGCCCTTTATATCCCAAGGGCATAATTTATTTATACGTCTAAAATTTCTTTGATGTAGGTCTAATATTTCTTATAATCAGACTTTGGAGATAATGAGGGATAGAATATCATTTATTTTCTTCAATGTGCTGAATACTTTTATGTTTGTCCTCTCCAAGGTGTACTCGATGATTTAGTATGTTTTTGATCAATTTGGCAATTTATTGTATTTGTTTAGGTTTTTTCAATAAGACCTACTTGGAAAACCGTGCGATTTCTATATGTAAGATTATACAATGAAGATTTCAAATTTGTTTATCGAAATACATTTCTTTTTGTGTGAGAAACGTACGTATTCTTGAAAATAAATACATTTGAAATTTTTGAACGGCAACATTATCGCTATACATTTTTATTTCATTATTTTGCTATGTTTGTGTTTGCTTAAGTTATGATGATTAGAGCTTGCATTGAAAGAAGTACAAAGTAAACTAAATATATTAGAGGTATTAGCAATACCTCAGTGTCATGTTTGTCTCGTAGCATATATATATAGTTTACAAACCATAACGAAAAAAGACAAATTACAGTCGAAGCTTGCAAGTGACATTTATTGATTCGGTTTGTATTTGGCATAGATAATATGCTAGGAAAACGAATTCCATGCAAAATAAACCATATATCAGTATCAAATATTGATGAATTTTCCTTTGGGAAAAATATTTTATCTGCCCCATCAGTGCATGATTCATTATTTTCTGCTACAAATAGGTAAACAAAAAGTGTGATGTTGGGAGTAGTATTTGGAGTGGGGTTGGAGGAAACTAGAAGTCGTGCATCTTGAAATCTCTGGGTAGACCGGGTCAACATTAGATCTACTTCCTATTTGTCATATTACCTCTGATGTGAAACTGATGCCACGTGTAAGAGAACAATCCAACAAATAAAGTCACATATTTCGATTAAAGTATATTTCGCATTCTTTACTCTGATATAAAAAAAATTATATATCGTATTCATTTATCTTTTATCCATTTGTTATTTCTTTGGGGTTGAAACAAAGAGAACAAAACCCAATTTTCTTTTCAAAACTTCCACCAAAATTGCTTTCTAATTAATATTCGTATGAATAGCAACTTTTTTTTTTTTAGCAAAATTTATGTGACAAAATCTAATTGTATCCAAATAGAAATGTATTAAACATTGATTATATTTATTTCATTCAATAGGTTTGAATGCAAGATTAAATTATTTACTGAATATCATTAATTTGATTGATCTCAATTATGCAGTAAAATATCATGCCGAGTTATGTAACTATGTCATTATATTTCATGCATATTGATTCATGAACTGACAAATGGATAAGAAAAAAATTACTAAAATTTGATTGAATGTAAAAGATATGTAGCTAATAGATAGATGTTATAATAGATTGATTGATTGACTGATTGATTGAATGGTTGGGTGAGTGATTTAATTATTCAATGAAAGTGTTGTGATTCTCTTGTTTTATTGGTTGATTGATTGATTGGTTGATTGATTGCTTGGTCGTTTGATTGATTGATTGATTGTATTCACTGATTGGTTATTGATTGATTGTTGATTGATAAATCAGAGATTGATTTGTTGCTTCTCTGACTGTATTCATAGATTGCGTGGTGGCTGGGTGATCACTCGTTATTGACCAAATGATTGACTGGGTACATGTTTTTTTGGTATAATCGCTGAAAGAATAAGTTAGTAGGTTAGTAAGTTGTTGGGCTAATTCTTAATGCTTTCTGATAACTTTAAGATGGTGAATGCAAACAATCGAGTGGGCCAAACCTCTATCTGAATATATTCTTCAAATATTCCCAATATAGATTTACCTCAAACTGTATGTTTGTTTTGAGGTTTAATCCGGTAATTCCGTTCTAGGGCCTCATTTTCTTTCAAAGGTTTATGATCGAACAGGCTCTGACATTGCTAACGCCTTCTCAGATATAATTATTATTTCATTCAGCTCTTTTAAAGATGTTCTTGGGCAATTACGTTGAAGAATGTAACTCGTATCAAATCACCTCGGCGACATGCTAGAAAATTAGATCTACTTTAAATGTAAAGTCGACTTGATGAAATATAAGAGTACGTCTCAACAATTTCAGCGCATTATAAATTGGGTTGGTTTCAATTATCGACTTACGTTCAAATTTTCAAATGTACATACAATTTGTATCCACATGTCAAGTAAGATATAATAATACTAAGTGAATTCAAGGTGCTTCACCGATCCTTATTCTTCTTTTTCTGTTTTGGGTGTGTGTTACGATAATATTTTGTATTTGTTTTTCTTGTCACATGTCATGGCCCTAATTGAAAAGCTTTCCCATGTATACCACATCCCTCTTATTTCTCCTCATTCACCCTTCCCTAGCAAAGCAATTGTGTCACTCGTAACGGATATATATATGGAATTGTTTGTTAGTACACGTTACTAAAGGCACAAATCATCAAACAATCATTGCCTTGAATCAAGGTTTTACTGCATCTCTTGGGTAACCGGGTGCATTCCTCACATTGTGGTTTCTTTTAATGGTAGAGCTACACTTCACCTTTGTTTGCCATGACGTAAGACTCCTCTAAACTATCAAGAGATGTGAAGTGAGGGGTCCCCTCGGCCCCGTGAACTCTTGTATGCCACTGATATACCTTTGTCATCTTCGGTTACTCCTTAAAATGCCTTTCAGTGAGATGTTAACAACGATGACAATTTCCTGTATTTTGTTTGTTTAAAATATTATTATCTACACCTCTACTTTATCCAAGTTTAAATGTCCTTTATTCATCTAGCTATGAATAATTATATTTTTGTCATGTTATAATGTCACAATCCTTAATACTTGCGCCTAATTGGTCGATTGTCTAAAGTATCATGGATATTATCGTCATGCTACTCGGTACGATGTCCTTTACAAATAAATCATACGATTCCCCCAAATCGCTCGCTAACACATTTCGGTAGAAATTGAGTATTTTGGGAAGAGGAAAACAGAAAATTGAGTCTCGCACTATTCGCTTTTAAATTGAAAGAAAATGAAAGCGGGAAACCGATGCTTATTTGGCCCTTCGCTGCAGTCTTAAGTTGAAAACAGGTGAATAAGTCATAAAGGTTGACGTCATCCCGTCGACACGCCCCATGCCATACGTCATACTTTCGCGGCCAAAGAAAGTTCTCTTCCGTTCATCGGGATGCCTTCCCACGCCCACACTCACTCATCATGAACTTGAGAACACACCCTCCGATGCTTCATCTCCCCATCCCTCTTTCTCTCTCTCTCTCTCTCTCTCTCTCTCTCTCTCTCTCTCGCTCTCTATTTCTCTCTCCCTCTCTCTGTTTCTCTCTTCTACTCTATCATGCAAATGTACTGCCATTATACCCATGCATTAACATCTTTCTTGTTTTCCCATCTCTTGGTATCGACGTTTTTTACAGTTTTGTTCCTTGCTTTCTGTTAATTTCATAACTTTCTCTCTTACTATATCTCTTACTCTTTTTCTTTCTCTATCTCTCTTCTTTTTTCTCTCTATCCCTCGTATTTTCTATCTCTCTCTCTCTCTCTCTCTCTCTCTATTAACCTCTCTCTATCTCTGTGCTGATCATTATCTCCCCCATACTCTTTATTACTCAAGCCATAAAATGTTCAAATATTGGATTGTCGTCTCCTTTTCCGATATCCCGAATTCACGGCACACTATTTTGCTGCACAAATTAAGTTCCTGTTTGATATACCACCTATTTGTACCCTTCCTGATAATTTGTTTTGGTCTATGACTTTCAGTGAAATAGATTCACCCCAAATGTAATGGAAAAATACATTTCTCTCATGTGATGACTGATAGCTCAGAATAATAAAACGTTTAAAATGGACGAAGAGAAGAAGATGGAAACCCGAAATCTACAAATTCTCCATGTTTCCGGTTGAATGAACTCGCAGAGTTTAATGAGGACGTATGAACAATCACAATTCGCCACTATCGTCGTTCTTCTGTTTGCGATTCTGAACTGTGCGCGCGTGTGAATGTGTTAGTTGAGTGTGTGCGCAGTGGCGGATCCAGGCCCCCCCCCCCCCTTGAGAAAAAAATCATGTAAAATCACGTGATTTTTAACTTTTTTGGGGTTGGGCCCCCCCCCCCCCTGGCGTTCAAGGGGGGGGGGGGGGTGCAAATTGAAAAAAATTTGAGGACACAAAAAAAAAAATGTGCTCTCTACCCCCCCCCCCCCCCCCCCCCCCACTGAGTTAAATATTCGGGAGCAAACAAAAAAGAAAAAAAGTTGGGCCCCCTCCCATAAGAAATCCTGGAACCGCGCCTGTGTGTGCGTGTGAGTGTGTGTCTGTATCATGTTTGTCTACTCCTCCCTCTTCCCTATTGTCGGACTGGCTCTATTTCTCCCTCTCTCTCCCTCTGTCTATCTCTCTCTTTATCTCTCTCTTTCTCACACCCACATCCACATAGTTTATTCCTCTCCTCTCTAAAGAACAAAATGAAGTGGAAAACTACAATGGATTATTATGAGAGACAATAATTTATATATCTCAAATCATTTTTACATAAGACATTTTTTGTGACAAGAACATATCGACGGCAGTATATTTCTTCACCTCGTTTTAAAGTAATAAATGTTCAACTGAAAAAAGACAAATACAAACTAAAACGTTAGAATCATTAACATACACTTACTTATTTATTTAATGCTTGTTACGTAATGAGTAAATTATTGTATTTAATAAAAATAATGTAACGTTTTAGCTTACAGATAGTGTGGTCTTTAAGTCGGATTTTTTTTTTAAACCTCTTTCCATGTCTTTTCCTTTTTTGTATTTCCCCTGTAAAGGTTAGCAGTGCTTGGTCGAAATTTGCCTCTTTAAAATACAATGATTCTTTCCGAAAGTGGTCGGCTCTATCGCCATATCCTTCGAAAAACAACGCCCCTATAATATTGATAATGCCCTGTCTAATCTAAAATAACCTGACAATCCTCTTAATATTGTCCTACAGACACCATGCCTTCCCGAAATACAACGTGATACCCTCTGTCCTTGACCATGTTGGCGAGCAGACGAGACGCACAGATTCCCGCTCAAAATAAAAGTGGTCATATCATCTGTCGTCTGCCAACATCATGGATATTGTCTGGTAACCTTGGAGATGGACTTGGCAATCGAATGTAGACAGATGAAAAAGGACATTCTCGTACCCTTTCAAATATTTTACCATGGATGTTCTTATTTTTAGTAATAAAGTATGGTGGCTTAAATGTGAAACAGTGTCATTGGTTAAATTCCTCTCTTTTGGCTGTGCTTTTGATTTCTGTTCGTCATTTGTGGTCGATTTTATTTTGTAATATATTTAGGGAGGGTGGTCGTTTTATCAGTCAGGGGGCACGGGCTTTTAATCGGTGAATGTAACGAGAAAGGAAAAGGCCGACTAGTGGAGTGAGAGTGTGGAAGAAGTGCACTTATCTTCTTTTAACCCCCCCCCCTCCCCACCCCCTCCCTTGCCATTTGATGAAGAGGAAAAGTTCTTAATGCCCCCTAATGCTTAACCATCGGGAGGAAATATTGCATCTTGACAAACAAAACATCTTCATTTCAATGATTGCCTTAATTCTTGCACGGGAATTGCACATTTACTGCCCCTCGGCAAACATGAGCATAGCTTTAAATGTCTTGTTGGTTATAGCCTTTATAATGTTAAGCACTGGGTTTATCCTCCAGTGTAATTTGCGAACCAGTATTCAATTGTGATGAAGTAATCCCATTAATAAGTTAATCATACATGATCAATTCCAATCAACATATACATGCATTACATTATTCAAAATTATCAAACTTAAGCTACCTTTATCATTTATAATCGTAAAACCATTGGAGATCAATTGAACTTTTAGCTCATTAAAACATTATAATTTTCGTCAATTTGCTTACAGATTCTCCCTCAAAAAGTATACATAATCCATAAATCAATATGGCAATAAATACAGACTCATAAATACTATCTACACTCATCAACGGAACACATATTGTTTAGGCTTGTTTGTGTACTAAAAATATACAATAATAGTACTTTTTCGGTGATGTTTTGTGGTGATCATCGTTTTATTCATAGAGCGAAAGAAATGCAAACGTAGCTCTATATTTGACGTGCTGTCATGTATAATGATGAATAATCACATTTACAGCAAACATAAGAAAGTAATTAATAAGAATACGTATAATATAGAGATAACTGAAATGGTGGCATAGTTCATTCAATAATGAACGTTAAACTCCCTAACCTTTCGCTCTAAGAATAATGACCTTTAATCTATAAGGAATGTGTTCATTTGCACTTGATCATAAAGTGATCCAGCTTTATAAGTCAGCTGCAATCGTAGATTTGTGTGGTCAGAGAAGGAAAATGAATAGAAGACTTTGCTGGTGAATAATAATGATGTAAACTAGATTTCTAAAATACAAGCATTGTTAAGGTAGTGTCTACCATTTGCATTAATCTGGGAGAGGAATACCGAAGAATATCAAAAATTTATATTGCCTATCACGAGAATGGTTAATGGTTTGTGGATAACTCATTGCATTAATACTTTGTATTTCTGGAATCGTGGTTACCATCAAGTTTTAATTTATTAGACGGAAGGAAAATCAATAGAAGCAAGAGAAATCATTTAGTTTGAAACTAAATTTCCTAAGGTTTTGTTTACCCCTCATACCAGCGAAATGAAAAGACCAGGATAGGCTATAAGCTAACGAAACATCTTCTGTGGAATTTTAAATATTACTTAAGTTAAGGTTTTGACTTTATGATTTCTTATTTTTTTAAAGATACCATTTAATTCAGAATGATATTAAAAAAATATGATCTTAGCAAATGGTGGATACTACCTTTAAATATAAAGCTAAAAATAACCATATTGTTTTCGACACTACATTCATTGAAATGAGAAAGAAAAATCAAAAATCTCAATAGGGTATTAACATAATTCAACGTTTAGCGTATGGCGTCCAGGGAAAAGCGATTACGTAATCAGTGACGTCAGTCGCCTATTACACAAAGGGAACACTCACAAGATGCGGCCGATTTGAAGGTATCTACATATTCATAATTATCCAAGCACTGTAATCGGATATTTACCTGTGGATGAAAACAAAGAGATGGAAATGAGATAATTAGTCTCAAGGAGGATAAAAACAAATTAGTCATCCACTGCATAAAGTTTATAATTGATTATACTAGTTTACTCCATTTAATGATTCTCAGGCTCAGATTGAAAGCTTGGCACAGCAAATAGAGACAAATTAATGTATTTTCACTGGTTTTATAGTCATGTTAATACTGACAAAATCCTAATAGAGTACCCCTTAGTCGGCTCAGAACGAGGAATTATGTTTTCTTTTAAATTTTCTGCTTGTATTGCTACGTTTAAGCAAGCAGTGCCAGTCAGTACATAATTTATAAAGGGTATATTTTCCTTTTAAGAAATGAGGAGGGTCAGCCATGTGGTGGCGCTCAGCCACTTTTACTTTCTTGTAAACTTGCCGATTTCAAAGGCAACGTTTGCAGCGTTTGATGACATTGTTTTATAAAGGTGTGTGAAAAGGTATGGATACTGCGAAGTTAACTGTTTAAGCGGCGACCATGACTTTCATATTATTTGACAAAAACATAATATTATCATAAATGAATAGATAAATAGCTAAATAAATATACAAATAAAATAACCAATCAATGAATTAACAAAGAAAGAGTTCAATTATCAAATAAATATATAGATTCATATGTGGATACATAAATTAATTAATAAATAACTAATACTAACATCGTGTGTTGTGGCGATGGAACAACATGAGCCATGGGTTGTGAAGATTTGTGTATAGTCGCTGTTTTGGAGTGTAGCCAGGTTTGATGGGTAGGAATAAGACTGGCAGAAACCACGACATGCGTTCATTTGAACTTTAGTCTCCCTGCAACCAGGTATTCGGACCTTCTTTGTGTAGCCTGTAAATAGAGAGGAGAAATAGACAATTTCATGAAATCGTTGTCCGTAAATGTTGCTTCAACAGTTGGTCATGTTTAGTTGTAGCCACAGTTGGGCAGATTAAGTTGGAGCCACAGTTGGTAAGATTAAATTGGAGCCACAGTTGGTTAGATTAAGTTGGAGCCACAGTTGGTCAGATTAAGTTGGAGCCACAGTTGGTCAGATTAAGATGGAGCCACGGTTGGTCAGATTAAGATGGAGCCACAGTTGGTCAGATTAAGTTGGAGCCACAGTTGGTCAGATTAAGTTCAACCCACATTTGGTCAGATTAAATTGGAGCCACAGTTGGTCAGATTAAGTCGGAGCCACAGTTGGTCAGATTAAATTGAAGCCACAGTTGTTCAGATTAAGTTTTTACCCACAGTTGGTCAGAATAAGTTGGAGCCACAGTTGGTCAGATTCTTTTTCTCTCTCTGTCCCTCTCTCTATCTCTCTTTCGCATTATTATAGTCAATACATCATATCTTTTAACGGATCATCGATGTGGTTAATTTCGAATCACTTACATGTATTAATTCTGCAGATATAAATAAAGTTAAGTACAATATTGAAATTAAGAAAAGTTAGTTTACATAAAGAATGAATACTTATTTAGGTTTTTTTTTTTAAATCCTATTCTTTATCAAGAATGTCACAAAACTCATAATTGAATTAATAATTTGGTTGCGATAGTCTGATTCACAATAACAAATGAACATTGTTTAGGGCAGAAGTTAAAATAGGCTCATTTATACTTTTATATCAGTTACGATATAAATTGATATTTTCTTCAGGTAATGTCGTATTATTTCTATGCAACATACTATTTCAAATACTTTCATGCCTTTTACTGCAGTTGATCGCTTCCAAGTTTCCCCTTTGATGATTGCTTAAATACACATGCAAGTGAGTAAACTACTTAGACTTGTGGGCTGCGCAGAAAGTTGATATGAAAGGTAAATAGTATGTTCTCTCGATTAAATTAGAAATCTTGTTAAGCTCCCGTGGGTACATTAAGGTAATCGTTAAACCAAATATGAAACTCCAAGACGATCATTAACGCCCACTTTCATTTCTCCTATCGTCAAAGGAATTAAATCATTTAGCAAACACACTTAGTAAGTTTAAATTCTTATTGGCCTGATTATTGGTTTGATGTTGACCAGTGTCCGTAATCATCGAAAGAAGAAGAAAATGTACTAGCCCCTTTGGATTTTTTTTTTTTTAAATCTTAGATAAGATGTCTGTAATGTCGTTTTCTACTTTCGGGTCTTTTGCTGACAAAGTTTTGAATATCAAAGCACTGAAGTAGATGTATGTTTTCCATTTGTTAAGGTCTTTACAGATGATACGCACAATTGACGTTGATGGCAGGCCGCATATTAACCCCTGACCCACATGATCACACTTTCCTTTGTGTTTTGGTGAGCATGGTTGTTGGGTCTTCAGACTTGATATTTCATTATATTTAATTATTTTGAATAAATGTGGATGTATTTTGAAGGTCAGTATAGTGTAAGGAATATGGATATGTGAAAGGTATTGAATATTTGTTTTGAGTAAGTGTGTTCTTAAATAAGAGACCTTGCATAATGCCAATATGGTATAGCTATAGCATTTAATGATAGCACTAATTGATTTCACATATACGTACGTGTATACTGTAAGGGCGTATAATTATGTTGTGTGACTAGGCTGACCTCCTTGGGCTGACTTCATGAATAATAATAATGTTGATGAAAATGAGATTTGAACCGCTATTGGTATGACGGTAGATGTGATCATAATATTGCAATGATATGACTACAGGTGTTTATGCAGGTTAATGCATACCTTTTCTGCATACACTGTCCATGTACTTTAATTTATATATTCATGCCATGCATGCTCATTGTAGTGTTGACCATTGTTTAAGTCATGGCTTACACAAAGTGCAGTGTTTGAATTGAATATATGTGTATACCATTCAGGTGTAGGTCTGCAACTAGTGTAAGTCTTCATTGTTATTTGGACATTCTAACATTCTTTGAATACTTTTTGAGTTAGAATGAAAAGGGAATGAATGTTAGCTCCTCGGTCAAGTTGGTGGTAGAAGAGACATGATTTGGTGGGCTCTGAGAAAGGAGGTCCTTGTACACGTAAGACTCCATGTTGAATTTGGGTGTGTCCTTTGCAGGACCTATATTGACAGATACAGAAATAGCTGTTGAAGTTTGAACTTGAAATAAATATGGAACTACATGGCAATCATTGTTGAATCATGCGTCCTTATTGCTCGACTCGTTACATTACAAAGGTGTGATGATAATATGGACTACTGGTGAAATGAGGAGGCTGGTTTGAGTGAGAAGACATTTTCTTTGGCTTTGTTGAATTTGATAATCTAACTAAAATGGAAATTGTGAGAGTATTGCTTTTAACACATAATTATGTACGACATATCCCGTCCGTCTATAATATCAGAAAAATAATTGAGGGCATCACCCAGGTTTATTCACAGTCACCCCAATGTGAAAAGGGTGGGATACTTAAGGTAAATCATTACTTTCATTAAGGTATTGAATGAGAGTAGACCAAGCGCATGAAATTATGTAAAATTGACCCTATCTTCCTTTTCGAATAAAATTCGCATTTACCAGCATATTTCTGCCTTGATAGTGTCCTTCTTTCTTCTTGCTCTATTTCTCCATGATCACCCTAGCTAGTTCGTGATCCAACCCGCGTCTCACGCTTCATATAACCCTATCAACCACCATCCTTATGACCTTACGCCGTTCTTAATTCCACTCTCGCGGTACATATCTTTCTATTTCCAACAGCCTTTAAATTATTTAGACATCATTTCTCACCGAATCAAAACGTTAGGAGAAATCCAGGGAAATTATTTCAGAAGCATGCCTGACCTTTCCCTGAGCTAGATTAATTATTCAATAGACATGTAATCGCATCATTCAGTCCCAGTGTTTTAATTTTAAGACGAGAAATGTTGGGAGAAAAGGGGTAAGCCGATTTTCCTGGTGGAATTGGCTTTCACTTTCTTCTATCGGTATTGAATTTGAAATGTCTGTCGTATGTTTTATTCATTGTTGATCTGCGTAAGTACTTGTATGTTCGCATGAATGAGCACGCCGATATTATACCTTGGCATGATTGTTATTTAACTCCAGCTAATGCCATCACTTTCTCTTGCTCCCATACACTTGGTGAATAAATTATTCCGCCTCGGTCGCGAATTCTACTGTCAGAATTTAAATTCTATACCCTGAGTTACAAAAGTAAATGTATAGGTAAAGTGAAGTTTTGACTCGACTTGAGAGAAACACAATTGTATTAAGACAGCGTCTTAACTTAGTATCAAGGACAATGGGTCGAATGCATCATAGAAAGATAGCTCGAGAAAGTGATAGGTCATGACGTACAAACAAGAGACCTGCTGCCTCCGAAGAAAAATCTTTTCCTTTGACCATCAGCATTTACTCAAGCGATTGTTTTCTTTTGTAAACAGAATCTACGTAATGCCAGGCACGTGTCAGCATTGCCAGAAAATATTCAGTTGGTACTTGACAATTTAGGCTATAAAATCAAACTTAAAAGGCTCAATTTCCTGAAGAAAGTGGGTTTGCTTCTCGATGCTGAATGTGGCAAAAACAAGTCTATGGCTGGTTCATATCATTTTCAACCCCGTTATTGACAAAGAAATGTATCAACTATCTAGTGACATATTTAGTGAAAAGGTGAGTGAATGCAATTAAATATACAAATATATTAAAAGACAAAGATCTCAAAAAAATATATAAACAAAATTAGGCCAACGTCCTGTGAGATCTTAAAAAGATGTATAGCAATTTCGTGATTTGCTTACATTCGCTTACTGTACATCTGTCGATATGGAAAGTTAGGCACAAGTATTGTAAGTTTGTTTTGCTTACTTCTGATTATGCATAACGTTATGAGTGTCTTGCAATCTTCGGGTAATGAAATGTACGATGTGGTTTCTCTTTTTTTTTTAAAGGGAACGAGTTTGATATCTTGGTCACACCACCAAACTGGTTCCAAACCGATTACAAACCTACCGGTTCTTTACCATTTGATGTAAAGAAATGTTTTGTTCGGTTTGTTAATCTCTTCAGCGCATTAATAATAATAATAATAATAATAATAATAGCCTAATAGTCCATTCCAAATTTTATTAAACCGAAACGGAAATTCTTTTTGCCCAATTGATCGTGAGCCCGGCAGCCACTGAGCAGCGCCAGATCGACGTTGCTCTGTCCCTTATTGTTGAACGCCAAACAAGGTAGCAACAACTCCCATCTTTTAACGTCTTTTGGTATGACGCGGCCGGGGTTCGAACCCACGACCTCGCGGTTGTGAGGCGGACGCTCTACTGACTGAATTTATGATAGAACTCGATGAGAAAACCAGATGAATTTTATCCCAAGCGGCTGACATACGGTTTTCATCTTCCCAAGAAAATCCCTTCTAGCGATGTTTTGAAACATGACTGTATGAGAACCGGCATGTCAATTTTGCAAAAAGCATAATATTGCTTTTCGGTGGGGATCCCTCCAGTGGAATGCACGTAATATAAAGATGTTTGTTTTGCTCTTCTTAATCTATATTTTTAGATTTAAAGGAAGTAGCATTTCAAAGTGGAGAATGAAAGGTGTCGAATTGCGCGGAAAATGTGTTCATTTGTTTTGATTAAATAATGTTAGGAATTTTAAGGGATATGTGAATTTTACATGTGTTACCGAAAAATTGCCCATGTTCTATAATTATGTAGTTCTTGTTGTCTACGTCCGTTAGGCAAATGCACATTTAAAAAGACATAGAGAGAGAAATTATTTTAGCAAAATATTCAACTCTATTATATTTGTTAGTTGCTTTTGTTGCTTTTTATGATACTTAGGACAGGTACTGCGGAAGAGGCCACAATGCTTATTAGTACCGTTAGTGGTTCTCTCTTAAAATTTATCACTACTAACCAAGGTTGACTTTGGAGCTCCTTTGTAAAATAATTTGGTTGAATTGCAACTGTAGCTCTTCTCTTTTTGGTCTAATTCATATATTGAAAAGAATTTGCCTTAAACTATACCTATCATCATCTGTATCATTACTATCGTTCCATGTCTTCTGTAACAATATGGGAATAGTACATTTTTTCGTGTATCCTCATGCGAAAGTTCAACACGTTCTTGTTTGTTGTTGTATATACATCATAACAAATGCAACTTCATCTAAGCTCCCTCCCCGCGGTGATCATGTGGTATGTGGAATGGGAATAAAATCGGGTTTTAGAGATGGAATACAGATAAGAAAGACCGAGAAAAATGCGCTTGGCATCAATAGAAGTCAGATACATCGGTAGCAACATGATATTCATGACAATCTACGAGTCAAGATCAATTCCATTTGTTTTAAGAAAAACAAGTTTGTTTATTTCTGATATACCTTTTGGAAATGTATATGACTTCCATCATTTTCTCAAAATGCGGAAACAATACTGAGTCGGGGTCGTAAAATGTGTTCAGCAAGAGGTGAAGTGGCGGGCGACAGATGGAAATATATCCAAAGCGTCAGGAATCCTTTCCCGGCGCTCTATTCATTCAATTTAGTGTAATTGCTAATGTATATCTTATCAACTCATGTCATCAAAATAATTCGCGAGGAGCGAGGAGCAACAAGGCCAGAAGATGAGTGAGGCTTACACTCTAATGAGAAACGGAGAGAAAAAAAAAAGATAAATAAATAGAAGGAAATAATTGCATGGCAGGCTCGAAAAAGGCGTTACACGTCATCGAACTACAAAAGTCACTCTGGGGACTAGAGGTGAATAAATAATACCGACCAGGGATTGGTGATTATTTGCAGCGGACTGACTGAGTACGTGTTTGCTCGTTAAACATCAAGATGTGGAGAAAAGCCAAGCAGAGATGCATGGGGGAGAGCCCAAATGTTAAGCTAGATGAAAAAAATGTAGCAGCTTGAGAGTAGAAGAAGATATATTTAGGAACATCGGTACAGGGGCTGCTTGATGAATTGAATTTAAACATATTTATATAAATAGTCGAATTCGTGTAGAAGGCTTGTGTGTTTTTCATGAAAGGTGATACCCTCACGCTCAGAAGCTGATTGAGGCGAGCTTCTGAAGAAGAAAAACCCTGCCGGAAATGCAAAGGGTTGAAATGTGCGTGTGTCCGATGTAAAGAGTTAAACACTTCAATTGTTTTAATGAAGCTCGCAAGCTTTGCAAAGCATGCATAAACCGTGTGAAATAAGCCTTTACCACATGTTTTGACCTCATCACAAACTAATTCATTAGGGGAAATAAACTTTCCGGTAACTAACTGGTAAACAAAATGTTCAATTTGAATTGAATATGATTGATGACTTGGACGTCATACAAACGGATTATATCTTGCACTAACACCAGATGTATACACACAGAATGTTGGGCTATCCTTTTTTTGTATTGTATATTCTCGTCGCTGACGTCAAACGCATTTTACACGAGTAATTCTTGATTCGACAAATCAACCTTGAAAAACAATCACCAGACAAAAATAAAACTTTGAAGAGAATGTTCCTAAATTTATAACATGTTTTAAAGGGTATTATTCTATTTGTTTCGGGTATTTGAACTGACGTTCTCGAGTGTCGGTCAAGGATAAAAAGCAGGGGGAAAGGAGTAGGAATTTCATTCCCCGCTTCTCAAGGGATTAGGAATCTTTACGTGCTGCCGCGTGCGCTTGAACCGCCACCATTCACTTTGACGCAATTCGGTGCATGCAGATATGAATGTATTACAAAGTACAGTTCACTGTTTCTATTATCATTGTCATGTAGGATTACTGCAGGTTTTCATGCTGTTTTCGTTTAAAATTTTGAGTTTCATCCCATAATGCTTTAATATCTTTCATGGAAATGTTTGTGAATCGAAATTCATGTTGTGCCTTTTTGATTGATATAAAAGGGTTTGAATTATAGATTTGTCATTTCAGCCATTCTAGAAATTCAGTTATGTGTAATGATTATTGATTAGAATACCTATCAGAAAACTACAATACATTTCAACAGCGTAGTCGTAGGTAGTGCGACAAGTGTTTACCAACAATACTTAATTGTACACGGTGTAGGATTATAAATGAGAAGAACAAAATCGTGCTGTTATGGGAATGACAAGCAATTAGCAATTAATGGATTTTGATATCACTATGACGTATGTTTCCTAAGTGCTTATCTTTTTTAGGAATTATCCACGTAATCCTTCGCAGGATTATAGGTGTGAAGGAACTTAAATCGCCAATGGACATAATATCTTAATTGACATATGCATTTCACGACAATGTGAACACCATTACCATTTAGACACATTTATATGGTGAATTCTTTAGCTTATGAACCAGCCAGGTGTATGAATAGATCTCGAAAAATGATAGATTAAGTGTACGACAGAATTAATTGTTCGTACATAATTCCCAGATAAGGATATTCGATGGTGTAATATCAATCACGTTATAGAAATAGAATACAACAATACGGGCGGCTGAAAGAATTATATAAACCAAGTTCTTTAATTTAATCTGTTAATGGCCATACATTCCGCTTGACATTTTGAAAAAAGAGAATGAACAGACATACATCAGAATGTAGCATTTATCACTTTCGAAATACAAGGGCTGTATTGAGAATGGGGTTGGATGATGGGGGTATAGTATGCAACCGTTATTGCATTATTACACACAAAGAAATCATTGCCCGTCGTGAAATACGTATAAAATGGCGGATTTAAACATTTTAAAATGTTAACCAAAATTGAATGGTGGGCAATCCGTCTTGATCTTTACTCTTCTTTGCCTGGTCACCAGATCATCGTTAGGTCAAATCAAATAAATACTTAGAGTGATTATAAACTAAATAGGAACAAATTTGTGCGATGGGGTATAGCGAAATGAAAAATAAGATATCATAATCTTACTGAACATCACAAGGACAGAAATGAATTGTACACATGGGCATAAGAACGACCAAAATAAGTAAGAAAATTATCCGTACCCAGTTATGTTCATGGTTCATCCATAAGAATAAGACCCCCCCCCCCGTACTGACAACATACACCGTTAATATCTACAACTTGTGCCTGTACGACTAATTTATTCACAATCCGAAAATAAAAAATCTAATGTCGTCAGCTTTCCAGCTTTTCAATTTGAATAAAATTTCAGATTTATCAAATACATGTATTTACATTCAACACTTGCATGACGTAAATGTATACACGTACCTACTTTTGCCTGTATTATATTGAAAATTAATAAAGGTCAAATCAGGTATTGGAAACTGATAAAAATTGATTATATTATAATCTAACAAAAGTAGGGCCACCCTGTATAAAGAAGACTTGAATAAATAAATAAATAAATAAACAAACGGGAAAACAAACCAGTTAGATTATAATATAATCAATTTTTATCAGTTTCCAATACCTGATTTGACCTTTATTAATTTTCAATATAATACAGGCAAAAGTAGGTACGTGTATACATTTACGTCATGCAAGTGTTGAATGTAAATACATGTATTTGATAAATCTGAAATTTTATTCAAATTGAAAAGCTGGAAAGCTGACGACATTAGATTTTTTATTTTCGGATTGTGAATAAATTAGTCGTACAGGCACAAGTTGTAGATATTAACGGTGTATGGAAATTATAACTCTGGTAAATTCAGTCTCCAACAATATTTCAAACATGTATCCATGACAGCCTTTCTCGCCTGTTTCTACTGATGTTAATCAAAATTAATGCGGAGCAGAATTTAAAAAACAAAATCAGTAACTAGGTAGCATTCAATGGCATTGGCAAATCACCGAGCTACATAAAATATCAATGATTGATGCGTAAAGATTTTCATTAGCCAATTGTATAGGCCTGTTTCGTAAACAAAACAGACGAATACCAAGCGTAAATAAACCAATAATCACTCTGTCGAAAATTGGAAATATGACTTTAACAAATATTGAGGTATTTACCACTAAAGTAGAGTGAAGTGATATAAATGTTGATGCATGTAAAAAAAAAAAAAAAGATATAAAAAAATCGCGATCGATCCATTTTGAAAAAAAGGAACGGTGACAAACCGTTTGATCTTGTCACGATGATTATTGTAATGCCCATTGCAATCTCTATTACAGAAACTAAAAGCCCTCAATTTTAGAAAAGGTTTGATGTGCTTTTATCATCTCTCTTAATCAACCATAGTCTATTATCCTCCCAGATGCACTTAATCTATCTGAATATCAAAATTAAGGCTCGGGTATACTGTGGTAACAGAGTGGGTGTGTGGTCAATCCAAGATGGGGACGTGTGAGGGAAAACAAACATCGAAAAAAAAACAGTATCTGTGAATTGCTAGTGTATAGTATGAATGATTTGTCTTACGATATCTACAAAATCAACTATAATGTTACAGAGGCAATTATATAGGAGTATCTGATAGATCTATATCTATAATATTCAGTTCAGAGTACATGAATATTTCAAACAACAACTTTTCATTACGTATAGCATCATTATATTTTGTTGAACATTTTCAGCATAAGAATATAAATGATTTTGTAAAGATATTCGTACACACAATTTATGACTAACGTACTTTGATTTTTCTGGTATTTAGAATGGTTAACTTTAATCGTCTGTGATCTACATGTACATGCATGGATGTTAAGTACAGGCTATTTAAATTCTGATTTAAAAAAAAAAAATTATAAATGGTTCTCCTTACTTTTAAACTTGGAGAATGGTGGGAGCTCGACCTACTTTGACGAATATTACAATTGCATAACGCATTATACACAAACAATATAATTGTACTCTCTTGCAATTATATGTGATTTTTATGAAGAACTCATAATTCATCACCAAAACAATTCAGGATGAGGACTATATACATACCTACAAGATGACATCCGGGACTTTCCCAGTAATGTGCGTGTGTAAGCATAGGAAGCCATAGGCCCAGTAGCACCACGAGAACACAAGCCAGCATATACGAAGACACCTTCATTATTAGCAGTCACACAAAACGATCAGAAACCTGGAAGAGCAACAAAACAAAAAATAGATAAACAACGAATAAACATGAGTGAAATGTTATAAATTACAGATTATTGAATTCAAATGTAGAGTTAGTATAATCGAAATTCTAAAAACAGGTACCATCTTCTAAATTCAGCAGAGAGAATGTTTTTTATCTAAAATATCATCCTGGTATGAATGAAACGTAATCGGACAGAAATTGTTTTCTTTATTAATTTTTTCGATCAATACAAATAATCATCATGAAATGCAAGATCATTGAATAGATAACGTATTTACCTTACACAATCTGAAGGCAAAATAAATATCTTAGCTAGCTCTCAGGCATACATTGAGACACTTTCCATTCAAATCATAGGCACTGGGATGGAAGCTGGTTTGATGTGAGTTTTACGGCTATGTGCATCAACTGACTCTACATTTGAAGCCTAAAGTCGATTTTGATCGAAAAAGAATATGGTTCATCCTCTAGACAGGATAGGTATATCATTAGTCGTCCATGTGGTGACTGGTTTCTAGGTCATGTAAAAGCCTCGGTCATTTGCAGTCTGATTTACTGCGGAAGTCCTTTTCGTAGTAATTGATTCAATGAGAGGGGGTCATGAACTCAAATTCAAATGGGAAAAGAGGGATACTGTTTTTAAGGATCCAAATAGTTAGAAAATATTTTCCAAAAAAGACCTTCCGCGAAACCGGAAATTTGATATACCAGATTGTGAGGAAAGAGCTTATTTTTAGACTGCATTTTTATTTAAATGTTAATACGGAAGTCACTACGTCACTCATCCATGCAATATATTTATGATATCAATTTGGCTTCATGAAAAAAGTGCAATTTAGCCACCAACAACTGATTGGCCGCACAATATTCATGAAAATATGACATATGCAAAGCGAGGCCAGCCCCTCTCAACCGTAAATGCGCTCACCGCAAACTCCAAAAACAGATTGATTTTTTGGTTCTCCTGGTGAACATCATTTCCTAGAATACGCTATGAGTCCTTTACGATTGAAACCAATTTTTAAGATGAGTGAAAAGACAGACTGATTTAGTGACAGTGCACTCAGTACAGTTAGAGTACTCTAAGGACAGATGCGGTGTTCTTCTAAAGGAATGCCGAATCAGCGATGAAGTGTATTATCAGATGTAGATACTAATCATATTTATTGGCGGTACAAGCCTGAAAAATGTATTCATTATAATTCGTTGTTCTTGGCAACTCACATTTCAATCTCGACATATTTTTGCCATATTCGAAACACGCACAAAATAACACATAACCACAACGACCGGTACATGTTGAAAGGATGATAAGCCACCCAAATTGATTTTTGTTTGCAGTTTTGCGTCGTGCATTTATCAACATAAATTTTTTCTCTAGTGAATTCATTTTCATTCTGTCGGCTCGATAGAACAACGAATTGGGCAATTATCACCTCGGTCAAGGCCTAATCTTTTCCATTAGCAGTTGAATTAGTTTGAATTTCAAACGTATGATCCCTGATTATTCAATACTAGATGTCGGATGTATATAATATTATATGAAAATGCGTTCTGAATAATTATGTGAAATCAAGAAAACCAACACAATGGTTATCCCACAAAACGTATTGCTTTTTAAAGTGCGTGTATAGCATTGCTTCATAAACACAACAAATATGGTTCGACAAAATATATTGCTCACATTTGCATCTGATTTTAGGGATTCTGGCGTTCTACCGTGTGAGGAATAAAAATCTATATCTAAATGTAGTTATTTTATCATGGTAAATGTCATACATTTTGTTTCATCATATCACTTTATAATTAATCGAATGCGATATTTAATCAATAATCACTAAAGCACTTTACTCTTGGTTTTAATTAATCCATATCTCATGAAGATATGAACACAATAAGAATGAATGTATAATGTAATATAAACTGATCCCGCTTAAATCATGCCCCCAACCTTTGTTTTCTCACCAAATTACAACCGCATTTTACATGAACCCTTGTGTGTAATAACCTTTAACACTATGTACTGAATAGAAATATTCGACTAGATATTCAAACCGTCTATTCTTGGATTCAATCACTACAAGTCTTTAAATGCGGACAAAGCTTCGGTACAACTGGAAATGGGGGCACCTCAATTCATACATGCAGAATCAATATTGTTTCGAATAGGGTAAAATTAGGGTAATCCCTTTGGATGTGAAAGAGAAAGCAATTGAAGCTAGCCTTGCGACGCATGTCGGAGCCGGGTTACCAGCGATGGGAGCCGTGAACTAGTTCATCTAGAGCTGATCCGACAGATAACTAGCTCAAAACCAGCCGCTGCCTCATAGCTACCAAGCTTAATGCCATTCAACATCCCTTGTAGTCCTCACTGAGGATAGGCGTAGGAGGAATACTAATTGCTGTCAAGTTTGGTTGCCACGAATCCTGTTCAATGGAAGTGTAATAGCGGGGTAACCACGGAGAGGGTCGTGAGAGACATCAATTAGATTGTAAATGTTCTGATCTTACCCATTCCCGTGAGCATAGTTCCTTATTAATTTCTTTTAAGATCTACGAGTTTACAAAGGAACAATGAGCCTTTCTTGAATAAACCAATATTCACATGTTATTTTTCTTTTTCATTGAAATTAATTTTTTTATTGTTGTTCTTTTACACAATCAAATAAAATAAAACAAAGTAAAAGACATGAGTTTAATTCGATCAAGAAAACAATTATACAGGAATATATGACGTAAATCACAAATTGTATTGGTTCTTATTCTTAGCTTTCCTGGTTCACGAAAATTCCAACATCATCATCATACAACTACTTTTCACTTAGTAGGCGAGTATAGGCTCCTGTCTTTGAGAGTTCTCCTCGTTTAAGTGTACTGATCACCTACACGTACCAAGTTACCTTTAGAAGAACAAACAGTATTTCAGATAAAATCTTAAATCCATCTTCAACAAAAACAAACTTAGCTACCTCATCACAAAATCAAACACATCCACCGTCTCAAATCATTACTAGTTTCATACCCGAGTAACACCAACGACACCGACACCTGTGCCCCCCGTCTTACAAAGAGTTGATAACTTATTTGCGATTGATATCAATCGCAACTATGTACATGAGAGATAGGAGACTGCAAACTTGCGATTGATTGGAGGACTTGCGATTGATTTGGATCAATCTCAACGCTTTGTAAAACGGGGCCCAGACTGACAACAAACCGAGCAAAAGTTAACATTACATCGAATGGCTATGAGCCATACTTAACGGACAGTTGCCAAATTCATTGGCGGATGTTTATTCAAATATACAAATATCTATATTGACGGAGAAAACACATCATTGATCACTGTCTTCATAAAATGATGTAATCCACAACCACTAAGAAAGCTAAGATAATTAAGGTGTTTCTAATGCTCGTCACGTCAAAGATGACGGCATCAGTTCAAAAAGTCACATCCATTGTTGCTAATTACTTGTTTACGAGACAAATCGTTAATGGCATATTAACGGTCTTTTGACGTGGGATGTATCCACATATTCATAAACAGGGGGTAGGTTCAGCCGTAGATGAAGAGAGGGGGGGGGGGCATGATTTATTCTGGGCAGCTCCAATTTCTCTATAAACTCAGTGCTAGTACAGTATCGGTGGCGGGCGTATGCAGGCTTTATTCAAAAAGTTTTCCTCAAATTAATTGGATTACAGTTGAAATAAACTCACCATTAACAAATATCTAAATTGTTGCAAGGTCGCTTCCTGCAAAGGGCAGTAGTAAACAATTTAATGGTGAAATTTAGTGACCAATCGTTTTCCTTTCTTTCTATAAATATAGTCATGGATTCACTTGTATTTTACTGAATTCTTTTAACAAGAGTGTATGTATCAAACCGCGAACACACTTCATTTTATTACTATTGCAACTCTTGCCATTTAACTTAATCGCCTTTAAAGGTACCGCTTTCATAACAATGTTCTGGGAAAAGACTCACAAACATTCGAAATAAGGTTATTGCATGTAGCAAAATGTGTTGGGTGCTATAAGCCTTGTCCATATTTCTGGGGCAAATATGGAAACTACCCCAAACAATATATTTCATGACCATGTTGACGTTTAACCTATTTACGAAAATAGACGGTCCAGACGATGCTGTGTCCCTTCAAAGATTTACCAAAAATCTCTTGTTAGTGCCTCTGGTGGTCCAAATGCTATGGTAATAAAAATCAATGGATTGAAATTGTTTTGTGCCTCTTTAGAGATCATTTGGGGGAAGTCGGTAGGTACCGCTGATGTCCCCCAATGATGGTGGCTAACACGTTGACGAATGAGTATTCAGTCAAAGGTCGCCAACGATACATCTTCGGATATCAAGCACTTAAATGTCATTCCTCTAATCAGTCTAAAACGAGATATCCATCTCGTAGTTTTCACCTGCTTTAAAACAAGTATTGTTACTCTATATGCTTGCAATACGAGGCGTGGTATATGTATTGCATGATTAAATACTTGCAGGAGCATTGCTATTTGACGCAGGGAATCGTCTGAAGTTTGTGCCTACAGTAAATGAAAATCTAAGAAAATCTATGATCAGTACCAAGACCGTGTTTATTGATTACATTTTTTCAGGTAAGAAAAGGTCGGCCATCATTTATATCACTAACCCCGTCACTCGCATTTGCATTTCTACCATCTTGCTATCCTTATAAAGGGAAAACACAATAACTGCCTCGACAAAGCAATGGAATGAGAGTTTTAATAAGGGAGTGTACAGCAGCATAAACCTTCATACGCCTATATAATATAAATGTATATGAAAAGATAAAAAGCATATGAAAAACATTTCGACGAAAAATTTACATCAGAGACCGACGATCCCTTTCTGAAGGTTTAGAAAAAACATTATAATCTTCTTATAGATGAATCTTTGAACATGTTTTGATGTTCTTGCCTCATGTTAACACGAAAATGGTGAAATACACACGTCATGGCCGTTTGGCACTAAATTGATGTTTTGAAATCTGAGCCGACTGATGCATTTTTATCTTTATTATATTTTTGTTTTTGGGGAGGCCGTGGTCTCATACTCTAGCGGACCTTCAGTCAGTATCTTTTTCCTATCAGGCTTTTTTCTCCCCTTCAATTTGGCGAATATCCAATAAGCACGGTTCTCGTCCGTATCTAAATTCAACTGCCGAAGAGTCGTTGACTCTTCTCTTGCCGAAGAAGGATGTACAAGTAGTCCCGAGTGAATTAGTATGCATCTATCTTATCATAGTACCGTTGAACAATGTAATGAGATTTGGAGAGTGATCGATATAAGCGTGTATCTTATCACTGTATTCCCTTGTCTCGCGTTGTATGACTGCAACGTCGTGTAGGGAAGATCCCGTTATGAGATTTTGACT